AATAATTGCCCGCCCCTGAATTCTAAACAGATACAAGGATGCTCTTAATATATGTTCAATATTTATACAGTAGGTTTATTATAAATTAATTATCGTGGACCTTTACTTGCAGTAAGACTTACACAGTAGACAAGACTTACAGAGTAGACAAATCTTATAGATTATATGTACTTAAAAAGTGCTATTAGAATTTGATTTCTGAGCTGAATGTATATTCAGAGAGTAAGCAAAGCATAAGAATGGAAGAGGGAGAGACAGTATAAGAGTAAAGAAATCAAAATCATGTTTAATAATTCATATCAAAGCAAATAGCTTTGCAGCTCTCATTTTTGTTTAATTATTTGATTTAATACCAGAAACAGAGACTTTTGAGACTTACAAATTAAACATAAATGAAAATTACTCACTTGTAACCCAAGTTCTTTGAAACAGACTCTGCATATTCACCTTTGTGGGATGTATTGATGGTTCAGATCGAATGATGGAAGCTTTTGAAAGCATAAGAGCACACTTGTGCCCTTTCCTCTCTGTCCCCTCACTGTTTCTGAATCTTTTAGGGTAAGGCTATTAAAAAGAGACACTGTGGTGCTGTGGCAACTCATTCTTTTCACTGTCTCCTGAAGTCCAGTATTGCAATTAGAACTCTGAGGATGAGGGAAAATTGAATACGGAGTGTGAATATGCAGAGTTCATTTTGAAGAACTATGGTTACAGATGACTAATCTTCACTTAAGTAACAGCCACACATTTCCATTCATGGAATAAAGTGACGAGCAGGGTGCAAAGTCCAGAGAGTAATGTTTTCTTAACCTCTATGTTGCAGCTCAATAGATGAACATAAATGGAATGATTTAAGGTATGCCATTGAGGTCACTTTTCCCCCCTAAGTAGCATGGGACCTTATTTTCTCCAGAATAAGAGACAGTAGATTGTGTACCTCTTGTGGGTAAACTAACATTTTTTAGTAACAACTATTTTCTCCTGTTTGTGTACACATAAGGAAAAAAAAAGCACAGGCAGGCTAACTGTCTGATTCATGTAAAATATGATTACCAGTTTCAGGTAGGATCTTGGGATGACGTGAAACAACTTTACCTTTATGGAACACATAAGGGGAGGATCCTTTAATGTAGGCCTGACTAGAACCACAGTTGGGAATACGTTGCTATTGTTTGCTCAGAGAAGAAACCTCTTCCCTTTAAAATTAAAACCACCACTGGTTGACTCCTAGAATTATTTAGGACTTCATACACTTCCAGCTTGCAAAATTGTTAAAGACTGTTAAAGTGTTATACTCAAGCAGTCTGGTGAAGCGAATGGGAGTTTGGCCATGAGGTGGAAGAGACAGATCAACTTTCTTAGATAGCTGAAACAGATCTGGGAATCATTGTCTGCCATGCTGGGGCATGTATAATGTCTTTGACTCTGTTTTATCTTCTTTTCTGTTCTTTGGATACGTCCCTCATTCAGCTGACCAGCAGAAGTGGTCACTCAATGCACCTCTTCCAGAGAACCACCACCTCCTTGCACTGCTGAATGGAGTTCCCCCTACCTATTTTTATAATAAAGCACTATTGTGTTGTAACAATTGGAACTACCTTGTGTTGAAGTCAAGGCATAAAAGATTTGAGAGCTCAACACACTGCTCTCAATTCCTATATGTAATTTGTTGTCCAGAGAATTTCATTTGAAAATGTATTTCCCTACCTTGAGTGGACATGTCTGAAGTGACTGCTGCCAACAGGGCTACTGAATCATCAGCCACTCCTTCATGACACTGTGACACTAGGCATGTCTATATGGTGCAAGGCACCCAAGCAAACAAACCAGGTGTTAGTCCCGTGTGAATTAGTGCTGGAACGAGAATGTACAAAACCATGTTAATGTGATACCTTGAATGAACTAATACAGTCTACACAGAAACATGAATGCTTCTAGTGCTAGGATATGCATTATCACAGAGACAGGAATACCTTTCTTGGAGTAGTCGAAGTTAGTTTTGTAGTGCTTTCACAACTAATGAAGTGATCTGCAGTCAGATGTAAAGTGTTATGCATATGGCCAAGGGAGAAGGCCTGTCACTAAGAAAATACTATTCTTGATCTTGGTGCAGGTAAAGCAAATAAAATCTTTAGAAACCTCTCTTCTGGCAGAAAGCCTTTATTCACTTAAGAGCGTAGGGCTGCTACTAGATAGAGGATAATTTAAATGGGAACCAGAGGTGACATCTCCTAAGTTTAACCTTACACCTGCCATAGGATCTGAGTACAAGAACCACATTTCTGAAGTACCCCTATCAGTATAATGATACTTTTTTGTAGAAATAAAAATTCTTCTCTAATTAACCAAACTAACCACTTATACAACTTCGAAGCTAGAAGTATCTAAAGTAAGTGAAAGATCCAGACCAGGGACCCAGAGTAGTTTCTGATCAGTCAGCTGTGGTTGAAAGACACAGAAGTGCCATTAAAAGGGATGCCCTTAGCCTCACCCGTCAAATGCTCAGGAAAGGTGAAGAGAAGGGCCGTAGTGAATTGGAAGAAAAACCCAGACCAGTGGCAATTGCTTTCTGACGGTTCCACTGTTATGCAGTACACTCAGTACATTCTGTGAGTTGGAACATGAAGAAGCCTCTCAAAGAAAACTAGCAGCCTAAATGCCAGCACCAGGTTAGCTAAACTGTTAACACAATAGGTCTAATGTTTTCAGTGGACACTGTCAATGTTCTCAGTCTTAAATTAGACCAAGCAGCTGCTTGGGTGTACAGCTGAGTGTGACATAAGCCGATGTAAACACACTGCACCATTCCTTTGCCACATTCTTGTAAGTGGACAAGATATTGAAACATCCAAGAATCCTGTTCTCTAGGAATCTGAGAGAGCGACACCACACATCAATAGCCAAACAAGAATACAGCAGAAAGGACAGAGAGATGGTGTGATTTACATATTATGTGCACACATACAATCACAAGCCAAAATGGTTTGTTTGTCTAGTGTTAGCATTAATAGCCTTGACAGCATCCCATTAAAACATTACCCCTATTCCCTTGAGTCCAGATTTTCCAGTGTTGACACATTTGGCAGATTCCAAATTCTGTTTTCATAGCAGTGATAAGAAATCCCTGCTTCTGGTGCCTAAGGGTTTGGTACATAAAATAATTACAGAGGACAGCAAAAACAGAAGAACAAAATGATGCGCTGTGCCTACAAAAAAATCCTGTACTCCAAGACTCACATCACCCAGCAGAGAAGTTGGATACAATCCCAAGCTGCCAGCAGCATGCTTTAAAAATGGAATGAATAAATTTGCAAGGATGAAAGTGAAATTCCTTAGTTATATCCACTGTCTTATAATTAATGTTAGTAACATTTGAGGCCTGAATACTGTAGTAAAGACAGGCAGATAAGATCTGTGTTCTCAACATTCATGTACTTGTTGGGGCACTTACGACTCAGGCAGAGAAATTTGAGAACAAACTGCAACAAATGAGCAAGTATTTCCACAGTGCCAACATTTCTGAGTTGCAACCATGACATTGATTTGCTTGAAGAGGCAGCTGACCTCAAACTCATGACTTACTTTTAAAACCAAATGAACATTGAGACTGACAAAGACAAATAAAGCACCCTGTCTTCTATTCTTTACTTAAAAAGGCAGGCAGCAGAAGACAAAATCTGAAGTTCCTTTCTTCCTCTACCTCCACATTATCCACTATAGAGAGGCAGAGAAGGGGAAGTACACAATTGCCTAAAGCAGTGTTCTCTACCTTTTTTGTACCAGGATCCATTTGTAAACATCAATGGCCAATCCCGACCCAGTGTCCCTCACTCCTGACCTGCTGTCCCCCTTTCCCCAGGCTGCAGCCCCCAGTGTGAGAGGCAGGGGGTGGGTGTGTGGGGCACACAGGGCACCAAGCAGCCCCTTGCAGGCTGGAACTCTGCCAGCCTGCAAGGGAAAACCCATGGTTTCCCCCTCTTTTCTCCTTTAAAGGAGAATCCATTTTTAAAGTTTGTTTGCAACCCTTTTATATATTCTTGCGACTCACTTTTGGGTTGCAACCCATAGGTTGAGAAACACCGGCCTAAAGGAACTAAAGGACAAAGTGGATTGAGTCTGAGGTGGAGGATTCCTGGGAAAGCTGCATGAAAACCCAAAGTCCCTGAGGCTTTCATCCTGTTGCTCAAACTTAGCTCCAGGCGGTTCCCTACTCCATAGTTTCTCAACCTGTGGTACGTGTATCCCTGGGAGTATGAGAGACACAGGCAGGGGGTACATGGGTACCCCAACACTCTCTCTCTTTTGCCCTCTTTTCCTCTCTCTCTTGTCCCTTCCTCCTCTCAAAACTATGGCAAAAATTTGGTGTGCTGCGCTTTGCATGGCACTGGGTTCAGCCCTCCTAGCTTTGGCCAACATCACCTCTAGGCCAGGTACATACTTGAATTGTGCACCCCTGGTGTAAAAGGTGGCAACCGTACCCACACCAGATCAGACATCTGTAATATCACGGTCTTATATACACACATCCCTTCTTGCAACATATGGCACACATTAGGATGTAAATATAAAATCCCCTGGGAAACTGAGTGTTGGGGTACTTACTAACATTTTCAGAAGTTAGGGGGTACCTGCTACTTAGAAGGTTGAAAAACACTGCCCTACTCCACCTAATGGTGAAACCAGCAACACAAAGGGCTTGTTGATATGGTGTGGCTAATTTTCCCTTTTTGTTGATCAGAAATTTAATTACTAACAAAGTTTTACTCAAGTAAGGTACTCACATTTTGGATGAGAGCCTAGGGGTGATTCTCCTGTATTCTGGCATCTTTAAGACTAAGCGTCAGATTTTTCACTTGCTGCCTGCTTCAGTCTGAAAGTTGGCTGCTGAAAACTACATAATGATGGTGCAAGGAAACCTTGCTCACTGACATACACTTCTGGGTTACTTCCCTGGTGACAAGTTTGGGATGCCCTTTGGCAATTACTAATAAAGTATCTGGATCTGCCACTAGAGTGATGCATCTGTACCATAAATGGAGATGGAGATTTCACCCTTGGGGACCACCTGGGTAGCAGAGACTTCTGATCTAAGGAAAGAGTAGGAAGAATTTTCACATAACAATTAACAAATAAGGCTTAAGATGTAATCCAAAAGCAAATAGCCTTAGGCCATGTCCATAATTCATCATTCCCTACTGGTGGTGCCCTCAAGCACACTGTGCTGCCCTGGGTGAGCTGCCTCCAGAACCAGCAGCAGCACAGCAGCTTCTGAAAGCAGGTACATTAGCCTGGGGGCAGACTGGCATTGTCACTCAGCAGTGCTAAGAAGCCCACCTTGTGGAGGCAGCTACATTGATGCCTAATGGCTGACTAATAGCTCTTGTCAGCTGTCATAGGAAGATGCTAAGTGGACTTGAACAAGAGAAAAATCAGACCAATAGGTATTCAGAGGGCTTACCCACATGGGGAAATATATTAACATTACTTTACAGGTACAATACAGCAGTATAATTATGCCGATACAGTAATGCCAGTACATTTAGCAAGATAGACAAGCTCAAACACCCAGGAGGATCTCGGCTGGCTAAAAGAACATGAGATGACTCTTTTCAACTCCAATAATGTAAGAAGAAAGCCTGTGTGACTTAGGCTTCACTGCATGAGCTTGAGTTAACCCAGTTACCACTGATGCAAGAAAAATCTCTAGCACAAGTGACATGGTGCTTCAAAGTCACACAAACTGACCTGTTAAGAGAAGCATGATGGAGAGGAGAGAGAAGCTCAAGGGCTGCTGAAATTCATGGTAGTAATAAATAATTAAGCAGCTGAAATTCATCACTTCGTGCTGATGCTCAAGTCACTTGCAATGTGATCTCTCTATCAACCTGGTTCACTCAAATGGAGTCCTTCAAGTTGACTAACTCAAGCTGTTGCAGTGTACAGTGACAAGTGTAAGATCAGACAAGAGTAAATATATACAGGAGCCCGTGTCCGAGGTTGTTTTGTTCCAACTACTATATATCCGTTGGAACAAAAGATATATATATCTTTAAAAAGTATGTTACTCAGTATCAACCAATACAGAGTTGCAGATCTCTAACATGCACACCTGCAGACACACAAGAAGTTGGTCCATATAAAGTAGTTACCCCAGTCCTTGTCTAAGGGTATGTCTCGTCTAGGTAGTTCCAATCTAGCTTTACACTACCTAGCTCAGGGGTGTCCAACCTTTTTGAATGTGGGGCCGGATCATTAACTTTTTATCACCCAGTGGGCCGGCAAGCCATATTCAAAGACCTCACAGGAAGCGGTATCGCATCACTCCACCCCGAAACAAAAGTACAGTGTTTACTTTTGTTTCCTGTCAGCAACTTGGGCCTCAGAAAACAGCTTGGAGGGCTGCATGGCGGCCCACGGGCCATATGCTGGACAAGTCTGACCTAGATCAATAGTCCTAGCAGCATAATTGCAGCAGCACAGAATTCAGTGAAATTTGCCCAAGGAACCTGAGCAGGGCAGGGGTTAGCTTGCACTGGAATCCAACCAATGGTACCAGATCTCCACTGCTGGCAGCATCCAAGTTACCTAATTTAAAGCTGGCTTAGATGCATTTACATAGGACACAGAAACTGCAGTGACTGCAAAGTAGACTTATCTCAAGAGTGGAAGGATTGCGGATTGCATAATTTCATCCTGGGACAGGTAAATTGCAGAGGCTTTTCAGCTGAAGGGATGAACTCAGAGAGACCAGACCGGGGAATGAAAATGAAGTACACCTGACTGTATAACCATGACTCCTTTCCCCCCATATACACATAATTAATACAAAGGGGTTTCATTACCCTTGGCATTTCACAGCATATAGACCATAGTGCAGGGACAGGCAATTATTTTGGCTGGAGGGCCGCTTACTGAGTTTTGGCAAACTGTCAAAAGCCACATGGGGAGCCCCACCCCCTGACAGGTGCCCTGCCCCTTGGTTGCTATCTTGGGACCAAAAGTCCTGACTCCTAGCCCCTGACCTTTGCCACCAGAAGTCCCTCCCCTTGCCCCCTGCAAGTGCTCCTTTTGGCAAGGGTGTTTGCCATCTTGGAACAAGAGAAATACCAAATTATATTCTAAAAATTAAATATCTACAACATTCATTAATTTGATTTCAAAAAAATATTTTTGTCCTGATTTACTTGTGTTTGCATAGTTTACATAGAGGTGATTGCAGAATAGCTTAAAATGAAGTCTCACTCTTCTATATTGCGGAGAAGTGTGGGGGGTATGGATAGGTGGGTATAGGTTTGTGGGGGGCTGTGGGTGTGTGGGTATGTGTGTGGTGGAGTGGATAGTTGTTTGGGGTATGGGTGTATATGGGGTTTTGTGTATGTGTGTGGCAAAGCGGGGTCCCTGGCTAGCCACAGGGCTAGCCTCCCACCTGCCTCTGGGCACACCACCCACCTGTCTCGCCCGCCACACCTTGTTGTTAATTAATAATGTTGTTAGCTAAGGCGGGAGGCTGCCCATTGTTGCACCCCGATATTGGGGGGCACCTATCTGCAGCTCCATTCCACCCCTACACTGCAGCCTACCTGTTGTACACTCTACCCTCTACTCTACTCCGTTCCATTTCTACCCTTGCAGATGGCATCTCAGGCAGTTAGCTAAACAGTCACCTTTACCCATTAGCTGTGGCCTGCAACCCTGGGGACCTTCGGCTTCCGTAAACCCTGCCCCTGTCTTAGGCCTAGTCGGGACCCCAAACTTCTTATCAATTTGTGGGCATCCCTCGCGGTGGGCCCCTGACCCTTTTGACCCTTTGGTCCTGGCCCCAGCATTGAACAGTCGAGTTCCTCAGCAGGGTTTTCGCCTCCTGCCTGCACTAAGGGATCAGGGTCTCCCATCCTGGCTCAGGTGCTCCTGGAAGCATGCCTGGTCCTGCGGGGTCATTCCCCCAGCAGGCTCAAGTGCCTCCAGAAGCTTACTTGGCCTACCCTGCTCTGATGTTATATGGCCCACCCGAAGGTGAGGGGCTGGGGTTAAGGCGCTCCTACTCACCTTTCACCAGGGTGGTAACTGGCTTGGCATTTCCTGGGGCTCCCGCACCACTGAGAGCCCCACCAGGCCACCCACTCCTGGCAGGGTGCAGTTTTAGGTCATGCCTGGGCCCAAAAGCCTCCAGACCATCCCCTACAGCTCCTGCCCTTACTTCCAGGATGTTCCAAGCAGCCTTGCAGCCAGGCGATGTTACTGCCTGGCCTGTCAGCAGCAAACTGCCCTGTTTATATAGACAGCCATGGATCTAACATGGTTGCTGCAATTAAGCACCTGCTGGCCGCTTGGCTTGGTCCTTAAAGTGGCAGCCACCTACAGTGCCCTGCCACAATGTGGTATGGGGGAGCATGTGGGTATGTGTGTGGATATGTGGGGTGTGGGTGGGTATGGAGTTTGTAGGGGGCTGTGACATGTGGAGGGGGAGGGTGGCTGGGGGGTATGGAGTGTGCATAAGGGGGTATGTGTGCACATAGCCCCTATCACTAGCAGCAGCAGCAGGTCATCCCTACCAGCACTCCTGCCAGCCTGGCTCAGTGCTTCTGCCACCTCAGGGCACTAGTGCGGACCCTGTGCTCCCACACACCGCCACTTCCTACCGTCTGCCACCACTGCCCTGCTCCTGCCACTTCCCTAATTTCCTGCTTGCCCGCTCCCCTCTCCCACCACTCCAGCACCATGAAGTTCCTGGCTGCATGGCCGGGACTGCAGAACACAGCAGGAGCCGCCTGTTCCAGCCTGCACTGTGCAGAGCCAGCCAGGAATCATGGGGCTTGGGCTGGGCCAGCTCCTGCTGTGCCCTGCTCTCCTGGTGAAGCAGCCCGGAGCCACGTGGTCCCAGAGCGGCCGGCGGGGAGAAGCAGTGGCAGTGGAAGGGAAAGTGGGGAAATGGCAGGGGCAGTGGTGGCAGGCAGGGCGGGGAGGAGGGGAAAGAGGCAGGGGGTGGGTGGGAGTGCAGGGTCTGCATCATGGTGCAGCCCAGCCTGGCTCCACAGAGCCCCTGCCAGCCTGGACCCCATGCTCCTACTGCCCTGCCCTGGGCCCCCACTGACCCTGGCCCCGGGGCACCAGTGCAGGTCCTGAACTCTTGGCCAGCTGTCTTTGCATTACTGCCCACCCTCTGCCACTTCCCCCCATCTGCCACTGCCATTCCCCAACTTTCCTGCCAGCTGCTGCTGCTTCTCCCCACCCCCCCGCCTGCCCACTGGCCACTCTGGTACCACATGGTTCCTGACTGCATAGCTGGTTTAACAGGATGTAGCAGAAGCCGGCCCGGCCCTGAGGGCTGGGGTGATTGCCAGTGGTCCTCCCCTCCACCTGCATTCTTAGCTGAGTTGCACTCCTGGAGGGAAGGAGGGAGGGAAGGTAGGGGAACAGCCCCAGGGTCGCCAGGCCAGTTGGGGACTGGGAGTGGTCGTGGAGTAGGGCTGGGTAGGCCTTACTGCTGTAGCTGCTGGGCTCTGCTGCCCTTAGGTCCTACTGCCAGCTCCCCTTGGGTCCTGCTGCTGCTGGCGCCTTGTCATCTTTGACAGGCAGCCAGGGGCAGATAATAATTACTTTTCTAAATTTTTTAGGGGTCCCACAGGCCACAGAGAATGGCCTGGTGACCGTATTTTGCCTGCCCCTGCCACAGCGATTAAGTGACTAGGATTTTGAAAGAAGGAGAAATATCCTGTCTTTTCTTTTACAATATTTTTCAGAAATATTAGTTTATTTCTTTCTGCCTAAAGAATAAAGCCACAGCACAATTTACCAAGCCAGTTACTCTAAGACATAGGGAAGAACAGGTGGCAAGATGTATCCAACTCAAATGGAGGCTACCATCTTGCATGCTGAATAGTCTAGAAACTGGTACAGGTCAACTGGTATTCAGTGATTGGACTACTGGACAGGAAAGGCAGAAAACCTGCATTCTGTTGCTGGCTCTGTTTCACTGTGTAAATTTTGATAAATCACAATACCTCGGCTTCCCCAACTGTAAAATGGGGATAAGGAAGCATAGCGTAGCCTCCTGTGTAAGAACTCTGTGATGTTTGGGCAAAAGTTG